TATTAGAAACCATGCATTACACTGTCCAGTTTTTTGTCTGATAAATTTAAATGTTATCAAAATTTATAGAAAAACGTTTAAAAAGTAGAATATTTCAAATGTTTATCAATAACTTAAAATTAGTCTAAAATATCTTGAAAATTAATTTATTTTTCTTTATTATTTTCAGAGTTGGTTATATTTCACAATATATTTTGAATTACAAAAAAATAATAGATAAAATTGAGGAAAGAATGGTATACTTATTCAATTTAAATATCGAATTTAATTGTACATATAATTTATTTTAGTTAAAAATGATTCTTCGGACAAAAAAAATAATAACATATCATTATAAAACCATTATATTTATTACTCTGTTAGGAATTTTAAATTTACTTCGTCAATTTATTACTTTGTATTGCTTGTTAAATGTTAGAGAATATCAGTTAATAAAATTGTATTTACAATAGCTTAGATTATTCAATTGAGCACAGGAAATAAATAACTTGACAAATAAATAATAAACATAAGAAAAGTAAAATATAGTTGTTGTATTAGTATTGTGGAGTACTGCAAAAATCAGTATGGACCTATTCTATGGAATATATTTTATGATGACCTTTTTTTGACAGTCATTGCCAGATAGAATAAAGATCGTTGCGTTTGCGGACAATATTGCGATAGTTGGAACCGGCAAAAGTAGGTACTGGCGTGTTGAGGGTCATAATGAACAAAATGTTGAACTTGGTTGGCAAATGGATGTACAGCAACAGCTTAAAGATATCGGTAAGCAAAGCGGTTGCGATGATGATAATGTCTAAGTTATATTATAGACGTCCAAAATTTGTATTGCTAGTTGAGAATTTAGAGTTCAAAGACCATATTATAACTTATAAGATACTTTGGTGTTAAATTAGACCGATCAAGAGGAAATTGTTTATGTTAGTAGTACACAGTTAGTTGTTGTATGCGGCTCGGTCGCTAGCGTTCTAGCGTACCATGGCTTCGAGGGTAGCTATACTAGTTAGTACCTATAGAAAAGTGTCTTCTAGAGCTATTCTAATACTAGTGGTTATTTGGACATGGTGCAAATACACTTGAAAGCACGTGGTTGATGCAAATTACAGGTGCTACAAAAAATAAAAAATATAAAATGGAGTAGAAAATGCTAAGAGTATTGTAGACAACATTGTGTAGGGCTGGTGACAGTAATTACTACTGAGCGTGGACGAAGCGGCTAATACTGAACGTACATTGCTGGGAAAACCGATTCTACGGATTAATGAGTTATTGTAAGACCCAGTTCTGAACGGGGCATGGCTGTTTCCAAGCCTACTTTCATAGATTTGCGCGGATGAAAAACCCGAATTGCGTGATATGTGAGGACCCGATATACGATGCAGAACATACGTTTTTTAGACGCGGTCGATGGCAAAAAGACGCATGAAACTAAAGATCGCAGTAAGCAAGAACGCAACTTTAGATTCTATTGTATCTGTCATGTTGAAAAGCTGAGAAAATTAATATGCAGTAGAGTAGTACATTACTCAGATAATGGGCACCAAAAAAAAGGAGCAACAGCAGAGGCAAATAGATCACCATGGGTAGCCATAATCAATTATTTTAACAATAATATTGTAAACTGTACTGGAACTTGTAATTTTGTAAACTAGGTACTTACTTGTAAATTTTAATTGTATGTGCTGTTAATAAAAAATGTATGACTTAAATGTACGTTTTATAAATAAACGATGGTGGCCCGGTAGAAAAGCAAAGTATCGCTCTACACAGGTCAACGATTCAGGATAATAAATAAATAAAAATAATAAAAAATATAGTAGTTGTTGTAATAGTAGTAGAAGTCGTACAGAAATACACCTATATATTTTGTGTAGTGTGTATCAAAACTAATGCCTTCGTCATAATGTTACGTTATTAATTTTTTTTTTTAATAATTTACTTATTGCTAATAAAGCATAACATTCAATAACAATAAAAGTGTTAATTGCCGAACAAATAAGTTATAATGGTATAAGAATGTTCTAAATCATTTAATTAGTTTAAAACTAATCTTTGTTAGATACTTATTTTAATATATTTGAATATAAATCAGGTTTAATAAAATATAAGTAACTATACTTTAATGAAAAAAAAAAAAAAAAACTATATGAAATAATACTTTGAACTGAATACTATTTTAGCAAGAAATTCAGAGCTTTTCTATTTTAAAAATTAAAATTCTAACTAAATGTTTAAATTATTTATTGATGATTGGTAAGAAAAAAATGAGTTTAATATATCAAAATAATACACATGAACTCTTTATACGCAATTTAAAATTTAATATAAAATATTAATTTTTCATTTATATTGTTAAATGTGTTGCAGGTGAAATATTTAAAATATTTTTAAATACTATTATTATGAATTTATAATGACATAACTCATAATTTGAACTTATTAAATGTCGATTTTATTATTCAAGAACTAATAGTTCTAAGCCAGAAGCCATGAATATGACAGAAAAAGAAGCCAAAACAAATACTAACTAAGATATTTTATAAGACGCCATAGTGCATTACTTCACAATATACGAAACAGATTAATTACAAATATTACAATTATTTATGAGTCGGTTTTTACCAATGTAATTGTACATGGTTTTTTTAAATACATTATATAGTTATAAATGCATATACAATATACGTATATAAACCATTAATAATGTTATTTTTTTATAAATTAAATACACATTGTATTTACGAGATAATAAAATAAAGTATTACATTATAATATTATACTTAATAAAAAAAGGAATATAAAATTCAATGTTATAGTGGCTTGGCGTGGCGCGTTGGCTGCTACCAGTCGCGGAATGCGACTGAGAGTAAGTAACGGCCACAGCTACTAGCTCCCGGATGGGTGACCACTCGGGATCATAGTGGTTAAAAACCTTGCCCCACATACACGTGTTTGCTATCAACCGTAACAATCATAAAAAAATACAACCTACCGTACCTACCTACAACGTAACCCTTACAAACAGCTAATGGCCTTAGTTGCCGGGCTTAAGTTCAATAAAAAAAAAAAAAAAAAAAAAAAAAAAATTCAATGTTATTAAAATTATTTTTAAATTCTATATTATTAATTCGAAATTTGTTTAATTACAATAATTACAGATGAAGAGATGATAAACAGCTTCAACAACTTCAAGTTGGAATATTTTATGTAAAATATTATAATATATTTAATTGTTAACAATATATTTACTTGTATTTTTAGCAATTTTTTTTTTTTAAGCTTAAGCTTGTTTCTTAAAAATAAATAAAAATTTTTATTTAAATCTTAAAAGATTTTTAATACACCATAATATCTTAATACCATAAGAAATATTTTCGAAGTTTTAATAATATTTTAACTACTAAATTACATAAAAAGTTAAGTATAAAAAAGATGTAAATAATAAACTAATTACAAAATAAAGAAAACATATTTTCAGATAGTTCAAAAATTGATAAAATAAAAATACTAAATGTAAAAGTTAAAAATAAATATTTATTGAGATTAGTTATAATAATTAAACAGAAAATAAAGCCGATGGGCGACGCGATAGTGTTGGTTTTTACGAATAATAAATGTAGGTATAAATTTAGGATATGTAAACATTGTTTTTGGTGCGAGCCGTATACTTTTAAAACGCAATACGATTATATAGGTAATAAGTTTGATAGGGTTTGAAAAAATACATAAATCAATAAATGTTATTGACATAACTGGAAATAATAATGTTGTAGATATATATTATACATTCAAGAAGTATGGTTATAACTTTATAAGTTACGACGGTTACAGCGAAAAATAATTATTAATTAATCGATGAATCAAAAATAATTTATTATTCAGGCTTTAGTGTGGCCTATCTTAAATATATTATTTGTATAACGTCGGGACACGCTTATATCGATTGCACGATATATTATTAAAATATCGTGGAGACAAATTTATGCAGTGAAAAACAAATTTCAAAGACCACGTATCGATAATATTATAATACATCATTACTAATTGTTTGGAAATTAATAAATTATTATGATGTATTGAAGTGCATGTAAAAAAAAAAACAAAACGGGAATGTCAGTAAATGTTACCCCTTACGCATTTAGTGATGTAAAATAACGATAATAATATTTTCGGAAGAAATTCTCAAGAATATTTAGTAATTTTACTTTTATTTAATTTGTTTATCTTAAATATAAATTTTAAACATTTTTGAAGTTTCTAGGAAAAATAACATTTTATTGGTATTATATATCTGCTATTATAGATAAAAATAAATTTGATAAAATTAACCATGGAAAAAAAAATAATAAAATATAGATGAGAATATTATTCTTATTATTACCTAGATATTTCATAGAAATATCGTGCTCTTGAACGTACATTTTAGGAAAATGTTATAACGTTATTGTTAATCGTCGCGGTTGTAAGTTATTATTATTATTACCAACTTATCAAATACCTAATCTATATTTCTTTCTCTTGCTCACTTTCTCTCTCTCTCTCTCTCTCTCTCACTGCTCACTGTGTTATTTTTTTTTCTAATCACCCCCTAAAATTGTGGACCTCTAAACCATCTTTTCTGTACTGGTTCAGTATACCTTTACGGTTTACGGTATATTATATTGCATACATATAATATACAAGGTATCTACGGTTGTCTGGCGGTAATTCAATACAGGTGAAAAAGATTTTCTTTATTCTGCCCGCCACAAAAATCGGCTTGTGTACAATCGTGTCCGATTATCGCTCGGGGTTTCTTGACATTTTAAAACACATCGCAACGCTACGGCGTCGGACCGTTTACCTTTATCGATACATCGCGCGGTGCAGAGCGGCATGACGGCGGTGCGATTGTTGCGCGCGCGAGAGACGACAACCGTCCACGAAAATCGAAAGCCTCCGCCGTCGACATCGCCGTTTGGAACTCGGCGACACCGCGTCAGTTCGCTCGCGTCGGTCACTCCGGTATCGTCGCCGGCGTTTCGCGTTCGAATTAACCGCGCACGTATGCACGTACGTAAGTTTTTCGTAAACATTTTGGCGATCTCGATTTCTCGGTTACGGATTTTCAATTTTACTATAAAACACCTAATCGAGTTTCGTCCGGCCAAACGATTACGCGTCGACAATACGTGTAGATACGTGCACCTTTTATGCAGGCAATCGCGGTATTATAACATAATTTAAGTGTACACCGTGAATACATTTAATCGTGTGCAAAACGTGTATAACGCGGGGAGTGCTGTGTTGCGGGAATCGAATCCCGTTACCCTCCCACGCGCCAAGTGTTTGTGCGGTTTTTTAAGAAAACAATATTTTCGAGTGTTTTTTTTTCACGTGTTCGTGCCACCGAAATGATGATGCTGCCCTGCGTGTTGATGGTGTTGGTGTACACAGCGGATAAAACAGGTAGGTGACTTTTGGTTCTGTAGACTACGAATATTGCGCTAATAACTTTTGATATACATAATATAATATTATGACTACTGCGTGCTGTTGTTGGTAGCGATTGTCTTGTGTGTATCTAAGTTTAAATGTACTACATATTTATATATTTTAATAATTTTTGGATGTAAAGGAAATAATTATTCGTTTTTCGTCGTTGTTGTTATTATTGTCAATTATTAGAATGTGGGGAAATCCCCTCGTTAAAAAAAACCCCTGTTACGTGAGTTCTCTTAAGTGTCTGCCCTTCTTTACGACTTCAATTCATTGCACACACGAGTACACCTACACAATATATTATCGTTTCCAACAATTCACTCGTTTGCTTCGTATATGCATAGATTATATAGATAATAATAATTACAGGAATTTGTAGTAAACAATATATCCACCTTTATGTATATATATTAATTTCTGAAAAATGATAAATTATTTCACGTCATTCATTCTCATTAAACTTCAAACTTGAATCTTCGGTTTTTAAGAAACTATTTTCTTTGATAGATTTGATTGGAACGTAATTTAAATATGGTAGGTAATAAACACTTTTTTATATAAATTTGGCTTTTAAACTTCAACAGTAGTTAGCTTGTAGTTGATTATTTTACTGTGTGGGAGGGTACTGTTATTTTGAAACTCGTGTATACTAATATAAATGTGTTTTTGTGTTTTTGGGCAACATTTTTTTTAGGGCATTTATATATTTTATGAGCTACCTACGAACATAAGAAAAATATAATGCATACTATCTATGTCTTAAATTGACAAGAATAAGTTATTTATCGAACAGTTTAAATGCAACTCGCCTGTCATATTTGTTAAAGGATTATTTGTTATTAAATTATCATTTAGGATGCAAATTATCATTTAATTAATTTAATAGTTAAGTTGCATTAGTGTGTATCCTATAGTACACGAGTAACATGTTATCAAAATACGAGTCAAAATATAAATGTAAAATTGTCATTAATCTATAGATCATTTTTTTAAATTTAAATTAAAGTTACTTATTAATAAAAATATATAAATAAGTATCCGCGTGAATTAAAATCAATGTTTATGGTTATAGGTTAGTTAGTTGTTATCTAAAATATTTTTATGATAGCCTAATGTTAGTTTTCCTGTTACGCAAATACTAAATGGATTAAATTTTTTATTTTTATTGGATATACAATTAATGGACTTTAATGGAAATCAATACTTTTAATTTAATTAATTTATACTCGTAAATATTATAGAAATCGTGTTTTTATAAATTTAAACTTGAATCATTAAATTTAAAATTTTTAACTTTCTATAAGTATTTTAAATTAGAGTTAAAATATTATACTTTAAATAGAAATTATAGGATATAGGTACAATAAAATTTAAAAATTTGAATACTGTTGTTTTAATATAATATATTATAATTTTAACCAACTACTTATTTTTTTTTTTTTTTTAATATGAACTGTTGATTTTGGAATATTTCTATTTAATACATTTATTTTAAAACTTTTTATTCATTAGTACATATAATCTATAAATACATTTTTACAATAAGCATGTTTGAGGATAATAATGTATTGGTATGGTTGACATGAAGAAGTAATCACCCAGCGGAAACACTAACAGGATAGAAAGAGTTATTTTATTTGAGGTCGCGGTTAATGTTTAGCAACTATAGAATGTTTTTTTTTAAGATTTAAAAAAATAAATATTTTTTTTAGGATTTTCATTTTAAATATTTATTTTATTGCCTATATTTGTATGTGGACTGGAATTGGAATAATACATGATAGTGATTTGATAGTAAAAGATAAAGTAAAGATTCTAATAAAATGTATTTAGGAAAAAGCTGAAAAGTCCAATAAGTGTAACTTATTCACTGACATGTTGATCAGTACAAGCTTTTAGTGAATCCAATGTATAGATAAGGTGGTTTAATCTGTAGAAGTTTGAGATTTCAAAACTTTTGTTTACCACAGCTAGGATAAAAGCTTACTAATATACCTATATAATTAGATGAAAGGATACACTTGTCGACCACACTAATTTAAGTGCATCGTTTTTTCAATTTAAATTGTCTTAGTGTAGGGTCAAAATGTTCCTTTAAACACACGTTTTACCAGTTAGAACGCACGTTAATTATTTTTATTTGTAAGTGGTAACGATTGCAAATTCTCTTTACTAATCCAACACATCAAATCAAACAACTTATTTTACTTTTAGCTATTATTTTAAAAACTCATTACTATATTTTAAAGATCTTTTAAGCTTAGAATGGAAAATATAATATTTTAAACTAGATTTGTATTGTGTATTTAGAGTTAATAATGTGATTTAGTTCAATATTTTGGTGGCTTCTTCACTCCAGACATCTTCAACGACCATATAATAAAAAAAAATAAAAATAAAAATACATTGTAAACTTTTCTATAAATTATATAATAAAAATATTTCATAAAAAATAACAAAAAAAAGTTCAATATTTTGATACATCATATATTATTATGTGTTTAAATTTTCAAAAATATATTAAAAATAATATTAGGTAAAAACGAGGTTTAATTATAAATCATTACTATTTTAAGTTTTTATAATCAATGATCATATCATCATACTTGATTAAGGTAAATTCAAAATTCATTTTTTTATTTATACCTTGGGTATTTTTATTATATCATATTATCTTTGTAATTATCATAATAAGATCAATGCATGTATATTTAATCTACAATAGTGTGTACTATACTCCTGAACCCCTACACGAACCACATGAGATTATAAAATTAAATTTCATATATTTTTCATGTGCGAGTATTCCCATTCATTGTATGAAATTCAAATAAAATAAACAAACAAATTATTATAACACAAAAATAATAGATTACTTTAATAAATTATAGTATAATTATTATACGATAAAAAGTAGTTTTTACAAAACCTATAGATTAAATTTTTAATTTTTTATTAAGTTGAAAATGAAATATTTCAATTCAAAAACGTTAGATTAATGTAAGTATATTGTATAAAAGATGAAATCAAACATTTTAATTTATTTATATGTAGTTTTGTTTTTTTACATAAAAATAGCAGTCTATGATAATTGAAAAGAAATTAAAAAATAAAATAAAATAATAAATAAAATCTTCAGAAGTTATAACTAATATTATTCTTAAATGCATTAATTTTCATCTCTAAATTTAAAATGATAATTTAATCATGAAATGTATTGGAATTGTTGTTATGATTAAAAGCAAAATATGTGCCGAAAAAACAGTATTTTAATATGGTATTATTATATTTAATAAGTATTTATTTATATTTTTGATATAGTGATTATTTTATTATGTATGAGTATTATGTTATTTCTTAGTATAGGAGTCCTTAGAATTTAAAAGATAGTGTTTTTTATAATTTTCCGGTTTTTTAGTATTAAATTGAGTTTTTTGGTGTATGCATATTGTAACAGTGATAGTTAGAGTGAGACGATGTTATTTTATCGAGTATTTGAAATGTAATTACTTTATAAGTTAATATTTTATAATATACCGAAAATTAAGAATAATATAATATTTTTGGTATAAAAGATTTATTACATTGAAAGTAATTCAAGGGGACCTTTAATTGTAAATCATTTATCATTTTATTTACAGATCTATACGTTTTATTCATTATATTATTTTTTTAAAAAACTTTTAAGGACATTAATATTTGAGTTATATAAAAAACCAGGAAAGTCACTGTGCTGTGTATATACGTCAAATGTACCCTGTCAAAGACGTAGTATAAAAATAAATCCATTCTCACCAAAACCAGGTATTAAATATTAATTATTGTTTTCATTGAACTATTATCATAAATCCGAAAATTGCATTGTACATAAAAAATATTATTTTATATTATTAAATGATTCAAATCTTTGTAATTATTGTTTCTTGAATTAAAAAACAAAAAAATTGAAAAAGCAGTGTTGAGTTAATAATTCCGTTGTTTTGTAGCTTAAAAAAAATACTTTAGCTCCAATACATATATAGTATTATTCTATTAAATATTACTTTGCTTATAATATCAATTAAATAATTATCTATTATATTTATTTATCGATTAAAAATATAATAAGCCATTTGTAATAATGTTTAAAAAATTATAAATTCCTTAAGTGATTTTTATCAATTTATTGTTATTAATTATTATAAAAAAAAAGATAATGAGCGCTACTGAAAAAGTTTGTATGGGAGCTCATGAGTTCAAAAAGTGCAATAAATATGTAATTTTGTGCTAATACTAAGTATCAAAATTGTTAGGAAAGTGTAAAATCATTTTAAATATTAATTATATAAAATATTGTTATTATACTAAACTTGTGTGACTTAGATTATAATATTATAAAAATCATTAAATAACTATTTTATGCAATTATTTGTTATTTTAAATAATTATAATTTGTTCTTTTAGTAGATAAAATAAAATTATGTTTTTATAAATCTTAAAAAGATATTACTAATAAGGCGTGTAATTTAAAAAAAAACTGAAATCAATTTTTGAAAAAGTTCAGAACAACAAAATATGAAATAAGGTAAAGATTTTGTTCAATGAATTTATTATCCATGTATCAAAGCTTTAGATTGTATTCACATATTTCTATACGAAAAGATTATTAAAAGAGTAATATAGATTTATGGTTTTGATATAGCCGATTTTGCTAAACATTTTGTCACATATCTGTTTTTGAAACCAACATTCTTTTGGTTTTTTTTTATATATTATGGCTAATTTTTAAATTGAATTTATGATGTAATAAGTGGTTTTAAAACAAACATTGAAACATTTTAATGACAACAAAAAATTATTTTTTATGTCATACCTAGAACAGATTAAAACTTTATTTGATACTATATTTTATTAATACATTTTATTATTATACTGCGAAAAAAACATAATGTGTTTGATTAAAACTGGTTTAGAAATAAGCATATTAG